ATGCATTATGAGCCATTCCACTCGGGCTAGTGGGAACGAAACTATTCCCAGTTCCAAAGGTGATCTGGGAATGATTTGTTCTACTACTTTGTGGTCGTTCATTTCTTGGCTTGGGTAGTTTCCTCTTACACCTTCACAGATCTGTGCTCAACCAAGGACTCGAGGGGACTCCTGCAGATCTGCAGGCCTCTCTCTCTGTTTCTTCCTCTTCTCCTTACACTGCCCAACAAATTCTATTTGCCTCAGCAGCCCCTAGCACTGACCTCTGACTCCTCAGCTCAGTGAGACTGTGAGCAAGTCTGTTTGGCTTCCACCTTCTGCTTTGCTGCCTAGAAACTTCCTCCACACCATGAGCTTGAATAATCATTTCACTCACCTTTTCCCCTTCTCTCAGAGAGACCACGGTTCTGTGCTGTGCACTGTCAATGTCTGGGTCCTGTTTCGCCATCAATGCCAGAAGTGGATGTTCATTTGGGGAGCCTTAAAAACATTGCTCAAAGGAATGCTATTTTTGATTGAGTACCCTGGTTGGGGGAAGAGGGAGGGTTTAGAGGCTTAACTCATTCCTCACAGATCAAGGAACCAGTGTGGGTTATTCTACCTGCCAAGTATGTCAATCTCAATTATGTAATCGGGGACTGGGGAAGTAATGGTGGATCTGCAGACCCAGTGGACCTGCTGTAAGCCAAATTTGGATTAGAATTCTATGTATTTTCTGACCTCAATATGTCCCCACTTTAATGGAGGAGGGGGAACTATGAGGACACTTTGGGTTTCTGGGTATCAAATGTCAGGTTGGAACCCAACATTGTTGGTCTATCTCTTTCTCCAATGTGTGGTGACCTGAATAAATGGGCATAGGTCCATTTATGAAAATACTTGGAAAAACTACTGTGCCTGTGTGCTGTAATATTTCTGTGACCTTTCCCCTGGGTACACAGTCATCTCTTCAGTCAGTGAGTTTTGAGTTTGAAAAGTGGCTCAATTCTGGAAACTGGGTAGGGGATCATGTATTGTTTTTTATTATTATTAGGGGTGATCTCATCCCCTGCTTATCCATTCTTGCTCTCTTTCAATTGTATATAAAGCATCACACTTGTTGGGTACCCCACCTAGCTTGTCTGTATGACCATGTTCTATTCACTGTTGCTGTGAGACTCTACAGTCTAGGTCCCCTTAGCTGCCATTTTGACCTTTGATGGTTATTGCACCCTGGCCTTGGGGGTTAGCACTGCCCCCTGGGCTCTTCAAGGCTTCATCATTCACACTTCTGTCAGCAAGCCAGCATCCATCCCAAGTCTTTCCATCAGCCTACAGAGGAGAGCCACTGCTGAGCAATGTGGTTTTGCTCATGCCCTCTCAACACTGCATTTCCAGGCACCTTGGGAATGGTGGGTGCTCTGGGTGTTCCCAGGGAACGTCATGTCTATGGACTGAATTGTGTCCCCCACCCTCCCTGATTCATATGATGAAGTCCTAGCCTCCAGTGGGATGGTATTTGGAGATGGGCCCTTTGGGAGACAATCAGGTTTGACGAGGTCATGAGGTGGTGCCCCCAGGATGGGGTTAGTGTCCTTACAAGAAGAGGAAGAGGCCAGAGCTACCTCTTGTGGGTTCCCAATTTCCTCAGAACTTCCTGGGTAATCTGAGATTGGCTCCTGTACTTGGAGGGCAGAAATAGACTCAAGAAAGACATTGACCACTCCAGACTGGTAAGTGGCAGTTTTAATGAACAGAGGAACTTATTTATGAGGCTTATTTTGGGTGGCTATGTGTAGTTTTCTGCACCCACATGCCAGAATCTTCAAAGTTTACAATCACCCTCCCCTTATCCATGTTTTCAGTTCCCACAGTCAACCACAGTCCAGAAGTAGATGATCTTCCTTCTGATGTATGCTCAGAGGGTCAGTAGTGACTTAATGCTATGTCACTTCACTTCATCTCATCCCTTAGGTATGTTATCATCTCACATCATCACAAGAAGAAGAGGAGTGGGTACCATACAGCAAGATATTTTGAAAGAGAGGCCACATTTGCATAGCTTTCATTACAGTACATTATTATAATTGTTTTATTTAATTATTAATTATTGTTGTTAGTCTCTTACTGTACCTAATTTATAAATTAAGCTTTTTCATAGGTATATGTAGAGGAAAAAACATAATATACACGGTGATGGCTTCCAGGGGCACCTGTGCCTTATGGGGGCAAGACCTCTGTATTGTATTTTGTCATGCTGGGATGGGAAAAAGGAGGGAGGATAGTTCTAGCTCTTAATGGGGGAAGGGTGTAGGCCCAGAATGTCCAGGAATTTTAGGGAGTCAAAATTGTTGGGGGCATTCACCAGATGTTATCATGTCATATTCCAGGTTTGGTCCTGACCTTGACGTAGCAGACCTGGCTTGTTTGAACATTTGTTGGCAGTTACTACTTTGATCATCAAGTCCTGTGCTTGACCTTCAGCTATTCCAGCTTGTCTTCTGCACGAGGTGAGTGAGGACTTGTTAGCAAGTTACCAAAGGGGCTTTGGCTCTCTAACTCAGCTGTAAATTGTTAATTGACCTTAGGTTTCCATTATCTACCTGTAGGGCATCAACTCAGTCATAAGTATTCAAGTCTATTGTTCTTGTTGTCTTTATCCACACTCTGCCCCCATATGAGATGCCTGAATCATCATCCACCAGCTATTTCATTCCTCTCCACCAGTAGGCTTTTCATTCAAAAATTTAAAAAATTAGACAGCCTCCTGTGCCAGGAGCTGGCTATTCACCCTCTAGCTACCAGGGATGGGAGCCTCATAACCAGCCAGGTGGTGCATGACCCAGCCTCAAAATGCTGTCTCACCACCCATGATCTTGGGCGACTCTGATCCCAGCTGTACCAGCCTGATGCTGAGATGGAGTTAGGGACACAGAAGATGTATGGCAAAGTTACACCTCTGCAAGGGTAAAGGAAAAGCAGGAGGGAATGGAGGAGATGTCAGACTACATTACAGATGTGATAAAGCTCCTGCACCCGCACCAGGAAGTTCCAGAGCAAAGACGGTTCAGTAGAAGGCTCCTGACTTGGAAGAAGCAGCTAGGTCCCTGTATCTGTACCACCACCCTGCTCAGCCTTTGGCGGGAGGATGGAAGAAACATACACTGTGAGCTCCCACTGCCTTGCTCGGCCACAGGCAAGATTTGCCTTTGAGAATAGTGTGTCCTTATACTGAAAGCTGCAGGGGACCTTGAAAAACTTATCAGCGGGAGACGTCAGCTATCCATAGTCCTCGCAGCCAGGCAGCTGGTCCTCTCTTGAAGGCGGATCTGAGTGGCGCACCTCCACCTGCTGGCCGGCCACAACTCCGGAGTCCGGAAAGGAAATGACTGTTCTTCGGCCACAGTTAACAAATAAGTACCAGAAACAAGCAGCGATGATGTTGCATTCTAAACCGCGCTCGCCAGCAGCAGCCTCGCCCCGGGAACCACACCTCCGAATCCAGAGCTCAGTCAGTTCCCACGTGATTCCGAAAGCCTGCCAATCCTTGATCTCTGTGCTTCCTGAAACCCCGTCAGGGTCAGCAGTTTCCTTTGTCTAGGGAGACCCCGGCGTGCAAGCACAGCTCTCTCCTGCGCACGGGCAGCTTTTTGTTCCGGTTACTGAAGGTGGCCTCTGTCTTTGACACTGTCACCTCTGCCCAGGATCCCCGCCCCCACCTGCCCTGACTGGCCCCTTCTCATCAGCCAAGCCTCAGATGTCTCTTCCTCAGAGAGGCCTTGCCCAAACCCCCATGTGCTGCCGTCCACTGCCCTCTGCCAAGCCCCATGACAGTGCAGTGCCCCCTTTCCTTTGTGTTCACACTCTTGCACACTCTCCAGAATGTAAACTCCAGGACAGGGGCCTTGTGTGTGTCCTGGATTTTCAGCAGGAAGGTGGACGAAACAGAAGAGTGAGACAATGGATTTGATGCTATGAAGCCACTGATGAGAGACCATTTCTGCTCACACCCATCCCAGCCCCTGGAACACAGTGCAGTGCCTGGAATCTTGGGGGGACGCCTTCCTGACTTATTTAAGAAGGAATGAAAAAAAGTGGCATTTCAGTGAAAGATTTGGGGGAGAAACAAGTTTTTAAGGGGTTAAGTGATGACTAAAATAGAATGGATGCACTGAGTTGAAATGAATTGTTTTCAGACTTTTAAAAATATATAATCTTATGAAAAATTGGCATACACAGAGACAAGTGTGGATGGCTCTGTGGGAAAAAGGGGAGGGTGGGGACTGCCCACCTTAATTCCCTGGGACACCTCCTTACAGCCTAAAGCTCCAAGAAAGACTTTGGGTAACTCTTTCCAGAGAAAACTGGGTGGGAATTCTTGTCCTACAAAAGGGTCTAGAGGGAACTAGGATTTTATTTTTGGGGGTGGGAAGGATCAGACAGAATCTGAGTGTGTTGATGAGCAGAGGGATTAGAGCACATGGAGTGGGGAGGCTGGAGACAAGAGGAGAGGGACCAGATGGGGCAAAATTAGCCAACAGCAAAGGTGGAAGGCTGGGCCTTAGAAGAGCCTGGACACGAATTTCATAATCATAAGAGAAGAAAAATCTCAACAGAAATGTTGACATAAGGGATACTTTATAATTAGTGCCAGCCACATAATTAAAAACACTGATTCACTGCTGTAAGAAACACTCTCTGGGCTGATCAATTTGGGGCTGAAAAATGTTTTAGATTACAATTTATAGAAGAGAGAAAAATGGTATATCCTGGCCTTGAATAGCACAAAATTGATTTTTTAATTGAACATGTTTCATATTACAACTAAATCTTAGTCATCAGAAATATGCTTCTTTCATTCAGAATGGAATTTATTTCATAAAAGATGCCAGTTTTATATAGGACTATAGCATAAATCTTAGACATATTTATCTCATACCAGTAAAAACTAGTCCTGTGGACACTCATCAGGAGGGCCAGAGATGTTCTCCAGTTGGTTTTAGTAAATGAGCAAATTTAAATGAATTTTAAAAAAGAAGAAATTTAATTTCTTTTTGGTAAGCATAAAAATGCAGTCAATAAATAATCAATGCAAGCAATTACCTTGGGGATATAGTTGTCTGAGATTTAAAGATTTATATCCATAATAATTTAAAAACCAGTAATCTATCCAGTTTTATATAAAAAATTACAGTCTAAAAGGTGCCTCTGGGGTTATAATCGCATGGATCATGCACGTCTGCTTTGCAGGAAGAACACACACGGCCTGGGAAAGCTGCGCTCTTGCACAGACGTCTGCCAGTGGGCGTAGTGGTTAACAGCATGGATCCAGGAGTCACACCGCTTGGGCTCAGTTCAGCCTCTTTCTTTAGTTTCCATTGGGGCAAGTTATCTACTATCTCTGTGCCTCAATGTTCCCATCTGTAAAATGGAGATGCTACAGTGTAGCACACAGCATTTTCTGAGTGTCAAATCTGGTATTTCAGGTGAAGCACTTAGAATGGTGCGCCTGGAAGGTAACCCATAAATGTCAGCCATGGAAACCACTGATCGTAGGTATGGCTATTTTATCCAGGTTAGAGAGGTTAGTTTTAATATTAAAATTACAATGGTATTATGTAATGTAATGCTGGGATAAAAGGGACCTGAAGCATCATCACCTGGCTCCATCCTCTTACCCACCGGATACTCAAATCCCTCTCATGGTCTCTGCTTAAACGCACAATGATGTGACCTGGAAGTAGTGTCATTCATGGGCAGCTTTAATGTTTGAAAGTTACTGAACTCCATCCTGCTTTTCTCCTTCACTCCTACAACCATCATTTTCTAAGAGCCCACAGGGAAGTCAGTGCCCTTCCCATAGCGGCCTTCCAGGTGACTGAATGCAACTGTCTTCTCCAGGACAAGCATGTTCCAACACAATAAGGTGAGGATTTCAACCTACTTGATTTTTGGGGCAACCCTCTCTTGCAATAACTGATTTTTTTAAAATCAAAGTATGGTTGATATACAATCTTATGCTGGTTTCAGATGTACACCACAGTGGTTCAACAGTTACCCACATTATCAAATCCTCATCCCCTGCAGTGTGGTTACTATCTTTCAAGGTAGAAAGATGTTATAGAATCACTGACTCTTCTCCATGCTGTCCTACCATCCCTATGGCCAACTTAGCAATAACTAATTTTTATACAACCTCCAGAAATATTATGTGAAATGTTTAAAGAATTTAAGTGGATTTTAAAATTAATGTCTGTATACATTTCTTCAGAAAAAAAAAAAAGCCTTCATTGAGGAAGTAGGAAATAGGAAATAGGAAGTCCCTAACTTCATAAATTTACTTTTTCATGAAATATTACCAACACTTCTGGGTACTATGAGAATTTTCTTGTGTGCTGGGGGTAGTAGGCAGATGATGAAGAGGACTCAACAGCGAATCTAACAGTGGCACCCGCCAACGACAATTTGATTTTTATTTCAAACAAACTTCAACTTCCCCATCTAGCAGCTGAGTATTTTCACACAGGATAAATCTTCAGCATTTTTACTAATATCTGGAGAGGGTAATATCCAACTGACACAAATCCAAGTAGAAAAAGGCAATATGATTGTAACACAGTGGAGAAGAGGGGCGTAATGTGATTCACCCTGGTGCCTCATTGAAATGAAGACCTCCAGAGATATGACTGCTTTGCACGGTTATAGAATACAGTCACCTGTTACCTGTGTAACTAGATAAAGCTTCAGGCATTAAAAAGGCACATTGGAGATAAGCTTGATTCATAGCAGTGCTCTCAGGCGGAGATTCTAGATGCACATTTGACTTACAGGTGGAGTTGACATCTATAGGAAACAGAAGTTTGCCCCTGGCAATGGAAACTCCTTTCATGTTCTCATTCATTTTCTTTGGAGCGCTCATTTTTCTGAATCAACCACACTTCATTATTTCTGTTAAGCAATTGGAAGGGACTGTCATAGCCTGCAGTGTAGTAAACCTTTTCATCGAAAACTTTTCCTTCTTCCCTCAAAATGCTTGCTAATGTCAAAAGTTGTTCTTGATTCTTTTGGGCACTAGAGAACCCATCAAAAGACCTACAAAGGAGAAAGTAAATAATCATGAATGATTTTAATACTGATGCAAATGTCAGTCTAAAAAGAAAAGCAGAAGCTGATACTATGAAAGCTGGATAGTATGCAGCTTCAAAGCTCCTGGCTCCCGGCTGCTGAGCTGACCATTCCCTTCCTCTAGTTCCTGGTCTCAACAATGTGACCTGAACCCACTGAGGAGCCCAGGAGGAGGCACACGTCCCATCTGTCGGCAGGCAGACTTGGGATTTATACCATCTTGTGCTCTAACTCTGTGCTTCTCAAACTTCAGTGTGCATTGGAGACACCTGGGAATCTCGCTAAAGTGTAGGTTCAGAGGTCTGGGGCAGGGCCAGAGAATTTGCATTTGGAAGAAGTTCCCAATAATGCTGATATTGCTTATCAGAGAACCACACTGAAACTCCCTTAGAAGCCTCCCTTCTAGACTTTTCTATTGAAAATTTCTCTTGAAAATTTCCCCCTTTTCCTTTCTCCTTGGGAAAAAGGTATTGTATTGTATTTCAGATGAGTATAATATAGTTTTGACCCTAAGAGCTTATAGTCTAATGGAAGAGACAAACATTTTGGCAGCTCTGTCTATATAGGCTAAGAAGAGTTTTAACAGGAACAGGACCGAAGTGCTTGGGAACATTGAGGATATGATTACACTGGAGTGAGAGGTGTTACGTGAGCTGGCTCTGGAATGGAGGATGGTTTTGCTGGGTGGAGACAGGGAGGGGATAAGAAAAGGAACAAGAGTCCAAAAAAACAAAGCATCTTCATAGTGAGACACGGAATGAGCTCAGAAAAGTGAGTCAGAGCTGGAAGGAGGCCCCTGGTACACCACCCTGCGGCCTTCGGAGATTAATCTGAAGGATGTTGGGCAGAAAAGTAACTCGATCAGATCCAGGTAAGACAGATGGAAAATAGACTGGAAGACAGGAACCAGTTAGGGGGTTGCTATGGGGATGGGCAAGAAAAGACGAAGACTTAAATAAATAAAAAGTGGGGGAAAGAGAATAAAAGTTTAACTATATATTTTAAAGTATATAAACAGAAATATCCTGAGATTAAATCATTACAGCACACAGACCCAGCTCAGTTGCTCACGTGTAAACATGATGAATTTGATTTTGAAGGTTCAGAACAGGAAACACAAATATTTCTAATATGCCTTCTTTCTCATAAGGTTTATTATCAATGTGCCGATCAAAAGATCAGTCCTACCATTCTTCAGATAAGATGTAAGCTCTCAAAGGTACAAACTGTGTATTTTATTCAACATTGTCTGTCAGGCCCCTAGAATCATTCCTGCTATGCAGTATCTTTTAAGTCCTTGTTGAGTAAGTGTAGGAATCTATGTATGCACACATATATAAAATAAAGCACTGAAGATGCATTGGTAAGACTGTTCAATAATTTTCAGCAGGTTGCCTGCTAATGATAATTCTGAACTATGTGTTAAGAAATAGTTCGTCTTCTGAATTTATTACTTATTTCCTTAATGAACAGCCAACTCTTCCTATGTTCTGCCTAAAGGTAATTTGTTTTCAGATCCTACTTCTTTGAAATCAAATCTTCAACCACCTAATTGGAAACCCCTTGTTCTCTGAATACATATTGTTCTACAATGATCTATCCATAGCTTTATACAGTACACAAACAAATGTGAATCTCCCACACACACCTGTCTTGCCAGGAGCTGAAAGATACGGAGAATAATATTTTCTGCATTCTTGAGGAAGTTACAGTCTATAAATAGGTCATTATAATTTGGAATAACAGAAGGACAGGGTGGCTAGCTGACTAGCAAAACTGAAGAAGGAATCAAGGATGAAGTACCCTTTGATCTAAGTCTTGAAGGATGACAGTGGACTCCAGGAAGAGAAGAAGGAGCCACAACTTGTAGTAATGTGCAAGGTCTAAGTATTTTATATAAATTCATTGAATCTTGCCTGAGGTCAAAGGTAAACAGATTGAAAGAACATGGCCTGCTCAGGGAAGGGTGGGAAGGTCAGTGGAAAACAACTGGTTGGGGTGATAGGGTTGGGCTACACTGAAGAGGCATTGTGTACCATGAGAACAATCTGAATGTCACTCTGAGGCAAGAGGAAACCATAGAGATTTTTTAATTAAGTAGTAAGTTGGGTTTTTAGTGCTGTTGGTGTAACAACAATCATTGATTCCAGCATGGAGCAGGGAAGGAAGAAAGCGGTGGAGACAGAACAGCTAGGAGCCTATTCAGGTGAACAGTCAAGATTCAAGATCAGTAAACATTCAGGTATCTACTGAATGTCAGACATGTGTCAAGCAGTGGGGATAAAAAGATGACAGGTGTGGTTCCTATAAGATGGGAACTTGAGGAAGTAACAATGGGGACGGAGGGAAGAGAACAGAATCACGGATCATTTCTAAGGAGAATGGGCTAGAGACGTGACCGGCTGTCAGGGAGAAGTGTGCTGATGATGGCTGCGAAGGCTCTTGCTGGGGTGGCTGGCTGGCTGATGACCTTTACTGAGACAGGCACTAAGCAGGTCACTGCCCGTATACATAGGGAACTGAGGGAAGACTCATTTTTAGAGCTGCTGAGTTTGAACCCTACACCACATGGAAATGCTTAACATGTAGGTAAGTCAGGACAGGGGACACTAAATTTGAGTCACTAGATGGAGGTAATTGAAGCATTGTGAGCAGATTGCTCAGAGCAAGTCTGCCCCAACACAGGGTCAATAACATGCATCAACAGTGGCTCCTGGGAAGAGGAGAAGATGAGGAGCCAACGGAAGGAAAAAGCAGGTGACAAGAGCGACATTCTGAGAGCCAGCGGACAAGCAAGTGTCCAGAGAGCAAATCAGTGGCTACCCAAAGGCTGCACCGGGGTCACCCGGGAAGGGACTGCCTTCATGTGACAAGCGCCAGGGCACTGTGAGGGTGACAGGAGCAGTTCCACAGAGGCAATGTGGGCTGGGCCAGACTGTGCTGGTTTGAGGAGTACGAGGGGGCTGAGGAAGCAGAGACAGAGACAGGTTCCTTCAGTGGGTCGGTGGTGACAAGAGGGAGGGAAAGGCACTATGAAAGGGACTCCAATATGAGATGATTATCATGTACCATGTGTGTGTTTAAAATTTCAACAGAATTTAATGTAAGGAATGAGTTAAACAGGAATTAGAAGGCTGAAAAAGGAACCACTAAATGAACAGGCAAGAACTGCAGCAAGCAGCTGCCATCCCCTGGGCTGGGGGACAAAGGCAAGAGTTTGAGGTTATCAGAACCCAGAAGCCGCAAGGAGGGGTACTGGGTACTGTGTGTGAGAGTCTTTTTGGTCAGGTTCACCAAATGGCAGGTAAGAATAGTCTTAGGCTTTGGGTGGAATAATGTGTATGGTCTCTTACTTACTGGAGGTATGGGACAGACTTTTCATCAAAAGAATTGATTATATCTTGCAACAGAGCCATAACATATAAAACTAAGCCAGTAGGAAAACACTGCAAAATGCATTAAACCTGCTTTTATGGAAGGGCAAAAAGCCAACTGAAATTGCATAGGAACTAAACAGTAAATGCAGGCAAGTAAAACTAGCAGTCAACAGGGTTACAAATTATCTACCACTTACCGTACAAACACAGTCATTTCAGCTCTATCTTCAATGAAGACATCTGACTCTGATGGCCGGGGCGGATCCAGTTGCTGCTCAGAGGGGATGTACAGGGAAATGGTAATGGTAGACTCACTAAAAGGACCTGAACCGGGCTCCACATAGCTTGTCACTGGAGCTGTCATCTTTATTTTCATCTCTGTACCATGAAAATAAATATTTAAATTCAACAGAGACTGTCAAAGCAGATTTTGTGTTATTTATGGCGACTTTTAAAAACTGAACCTATTTTTTAAATCTGAGTTTCCTGACTGACTTTATGCTGTTGACATAAATATTTACTTTTAAGATAATCTTCATCTTTAAAAAATAAGGCCAAGAAAGTGCCCGCATTAAACACTTTCTGTACTATTAGTAAACCTGGCTAATAAATTCCAGAGCTTTAGGGCTAGAAGGGGAAATTTGAGATCACATAGTCCAGCCCATCCTTTATTTTTACAGTTCAAAACCTGTCCAATCAGCCTGATAAAATACAAATAGCATCAGAGGCAGAACCAGAAGTTATGTCCTGAGACACTGGATTTTGTGTTCTTTGTACGTTCCTGCCAGCGGATGCCTCTAACCTGTCTCCAAACATTAACTATGAAAAGGGTTTAACGTGAGTTACACAGAGGGCAGGTTCATCCAGCACAAACACAGACGAGGAGAACAGAAGCTGAAAAGCACTGTCCAGAACTAGGGTCCCCAGCAGAATCTTTGTCTTCAAACATTAAGTGTTTGGCAACCTGGTAATTTTTCTATTCTAAAGGATATTTCTTTGATAAGCTAAAACTCAGGAATAAGCCAGGGACTCAACCACAATATATATAAGTACAACGTAAATTGCCTTCACCTTTCTCGTTTTTGCCTTGAATGTAGCTTTTCAACCTGGTAAAGCCAGTCTGAATGGCTGAATCCCAGTCCATAGACTCAACGGAAGTGCTGACCCACTTGGCTGGTCCATAGTGTCGGATCTCGTAACTTCCGGGCTAAAATGGAGCAGAGGAAACCTGGGGAAGCAATTCTAAAACGGTAGGAGATGAGATGAACAGTACAGGTGCTTTGATCTCGGGTCCCCTGGGGACGTCCTGTCCAGCGGCCGCGCCCCCATCTGACCACAAACATGCAGACCATAGTGTACACAGCATGTGGTCCTTTATTTCTAGCTTCTTTCACTTAGTAAAAGTGACCCCAGGTCTGGCTCCTTAGCCCCAGCAGGGCCCCTGCCCCAGGCTCCTGTCCTTGGATTGGAGACGCCAGCGGCCTTGGCCCCACATCCAGGGATTGGGGGTGTCGGCTCAATTCACATAAAAACCAAGCATCTGTTATGCCCCCTCGACCCGGAGGGCCCCACAGTGGGTTCTGGGACGTGACCCTTTCTTAAAAAAAAAATTTTTTTTTTAACCGCAAAGTAAAGAAATTGAGATGTGGCCAAAACCCGAGGTTACGGCTAACCGACAGAATTTTCCCGTTTGTGCAGGAATGAAGCTGGGGCTGAAACCATTTAAAAATTTTTACTTTTTGCTTAAATCTATGGGACCTTCGGACCGCACTGCAAATCAGCCCGACGACAGCCCCGCGCCGCCGGCCCGCACCCTCCGCGCCCGCGGCAGGCGCTTACCGGGGGGCCCGCGTCCTCGGGAACGTGCCAGCCCGGGGTCTCCACGTCTCGGGCCGCCGCGCCATCGGCCGCCCCGAGGTTTGGCTCGAGCCCCTCCGCCATGGGCGGCGCCGATGCTCCGGGGAAAGAGGCTGGAGAGCTGCGCCGGGAAGGGGCCGCCTGCGAGGGCGCACAGCCTACCCGCCAAGGTCGCCGGGCCCCGCCGCCCCGCAGGCGCGTCCCTCCTGCCGGCGGAGCGGGAGGCGCGAGTCCGCAGGACGCCGCCTGGCCCTGGGCCGAGAGGGGGCGCTGAGACCGCGAGGGACGCCAATCCCACCCAGCAGCTCCCCGCCTCCCTGCCGCGTCCCCTCCGCAGCGGTGAGGGCGGGGGGACTGCAGGGCTCGCTGGGGCGCGGCCCTCTTTGCGGGCCCCTCCCACCCCGCACCCTTGTTTTTAACTAACAGGCAGGCACAAGTGTGCGAGGCGGAGGAGGACAGGGCAACCGGCCTGCGGGGCTTCTAACCGGTCCGGGAGCCTCCCACGGCCCCCCCGCCCTGGGAGCCGGTTCTGCCGCTGGGGTTCCCCCCGGGGAGGGGCGAGAGCACCGCCTGACGTCGTGGGGAGCACTCAGGGACAGGCGGGAGGGAGCCTGGCCTCGGCGTGCTGGGGTGGGAGCCCAGCTGCCGACTCCAACCTCGGCGCCCCCGCGAGCCGCGGAGCGGAGGGCTCCGTGCGCCGGTTGGATTCGGGGGCCCAGCCACACTTAGAAGGTAGCCGAGATCGCAGCCTCCAGGGCCCCTCGCAGAAGGAGGTGGCTGGCCGCACAGTCACGCGTGGAGAGAACTTCTTGGTTTCTCGATCTTTCCCCGAAATGACCCCCAAACCTCTGAGTCATTACCTACCTACCAGGCCGGGAGGAAAGGAAGGAGGGGGAGGGGAGGGACAGAGCAGAAAAAGGGTGGGGACAGTGGCCGTACCCTGTGGCTTTACAGTTTTGAGGGGTTTTATTTGTTTTTTCTAAGAGATTTATTAAGATATAATTCACAGACCATATAATTCACCCATATCACGTTTTTAGTATTTTCACAGTTGTGCAACCATTACTACAATCAATTTTAGAATACTGTCATCACTTACAACCCCCTCTCAGCCCCCCAAAAATAAACCACATACATTTGAGCGATCACTCCCCATTTCTCCATACTCCAGTCCTAGGTAACTACTAATTGCTGTTTATAGGTTTGCCTATTCTGGACATTTCATGTAAATGAAATCCTACAATGTCTTAACGCATTGGAGCAGCTCTAACAAATATCATAGACTGGTAGCTTATAAGCAACAGACATTTCTCAAAGTTCTGGGAGCTGAAAGTCTGAAATCAGAGTTCCAGCAAGATTGTGTGAGTGGCCCCTTCCTGGCGGCATCCTGGTGGTATCCTCAGAACCTGGTGGAAGGGAGAAGGCAGCTTTCTCTGGTCTCTTTTGTAAGGGCACCAATTCCATTCAGGAGGGGGTCCGCCTCATGACCTAATTACCTCCCCGAGGCCCCACCCCCTAACACCATAACACTGAGCATTGGGTTTCCAGCATCTGAGCACAAACATGCAGACCATAGTGTACACAGCATGTGGTCCTTTATTTCTAGCTTCTTTCACTTAGGAAAATATTTCAGGTTTCACCCATATTGTAGCATGTATCAGAACCTCATTCCTTTTTCTGGCTGAGTGTTCCATTGGATAAATATTTTGTTTATCCATTCATTAACTAATGGACATTTGAGTTGTTCCAAACTTGTGGCTCTTAGGAATAATGCTGCTATAAAATTATGTACAGGATCTGTGTTTTCATTTCTGCTGGGCAAATACCCAAGAGTGGAATTGCTGGGTCAAATATGTTAACTCTATATTTAACTTCTTGAGAAACTGACAGACTGCTTTTTAAAGCAGCTGTACCATTTTACATTTTTGCAGAGTTTTACCATTTTGCATGCATTTTTAGCAGGTATGAGGATCCTAGTTTGTGTGCCTAGTATTTTAAAACACTTTTTTAAAGATACAATTTACATAACATAAAACTCACCATTTAAAAGTATACAATTCAGTAGCTTTCAGTATATTCATTGTGTTGTACAATCATGACTAATTTCAGAACATTCTATCATTCCAAAAAGAAACGGTGTATAGTTTAGCAGTCCTCCCAATCCCCAACACCTCCCAGCCCCTGGCAATCACGAATCTACTTTCTTTCTCTCTGCATTTGCCTTTTCTGGATATTTCATATAAATAGAATAGTATAATATATATTTTTTGACTGGCTTCTTTCATTTAATGTGAGGTTTTCGATAGTCACCCACTTCATTCCTTTTTATTGCTGAATGAAATGTCATTGTATGGTCCTAGTGCTTTTAAAGCAATTGATCTCCTCTCTTTTCCTTGCCCTTCCCTGCCCAAAGAAGCATGCAATGGCATCTGGACACATGACACTTCCTTGTGTTTATATCAAATCTATTATTATGCAGAGCTAAGTCTGAATTATTTAGTGAAGCCTAAATAATGAATTTTGACTTATTTTTTAAATAGCCTGTTTATTTTAACTTAGGTAACAGATGTGATACATTGCTTAGGTGACGTTGCAAGGCTGAGAATATAATTTTACTTTATAGAAAGTTTTTATTTTAAAGAGGGAAAGGCAGTAATTCACAATGTTTAAGAAACCTATTGTTGTAAAACATGTAGAGTACCTTTTACAGTTATCAAAGCTTTGGGGACATTTTATTGGTAGAAAGGCTAAATTTGGAGACATTCATTTTATAGGTTGTGGAATATACAGGTAATGAAAATAACAGTAGGTGACTAAGCTGAATTATCTATATTTACAAGATGTTAATTAGTCATATAAAGGAACAGAAGGAAAGAAAAGGATTTATTTCGATAATAGGATTTCAGAACAAATTTAATAAAATTCAGAAGGCTCAAGTTTTATACCCATATGTCAAAATAATCTATATTTCTTGATTAATTATGGCAAAATTGTTCTTTCTATTAGCTCACATTTAATGTTTATGTGACACTAAGAAGAAGACACTTTAGTTGGGCTCTACAGCACATATGATGATACAGGGAGACTCGTTTATAACAACAGGTGTGTCCTCATTCACTCCCAGCAGGGGAGGAGAGCCCTGGAGTGTCCTTACAGGGAGTTTTTATTTGTGGCTGCTGTGTTCTATAAAGTCACTGTGAACACTGAATTAGTAAATACTGAACCATTATTTCTAGAGGAAAGACGGTCAGGTTCCTGTGAGCCTCTGGTACATTTTCATTGACCAATCAAAACATGACCTCATTTTATGTGTGTTATTGAGTATATACGTTGATTCTTTAGCTTTGAACTCACAACCAACAACACTATAATTCATGCCTTAATGAAGCCTTTATAACACATATATCTTCTCCAAAAGTCACATCAGAGCCTCCTGCACTTCTTAGCCACACTAGACAGCAGTTTAGCACTATGCTACGGAGCCATTTTTGACAGCAAAATCACCACTGAAACCACAAAAATGTGAAGAACGGGGCACTAAATAGCCTATGAAAAGGATACTTGTTTACTGTATGTGAGCTGAAACTACAAGGCAGAGTTTTGCCTTGTTCAGCCTCAGCTGGGAATATGTGCATCTGGGACTGAGATTTTTTAACCACTCTACACATGTACATGTTCACCATCATGAAAAAGTGCTGTGAGTATGGATTTTGGGTAATAAATATATATTGGCAAGTAGGTAAATTTGCAAATACAGAATGTGTGACTAATGAGGATCAACTGTCCTTGCTTCCTGTAGTAAGTTACATAAGTCACTTCCATCCATATTTCATTCACCAAAGGGGATCACAGGGCCTTGACTGACCCAAAGAGGGTGGAAAGCGGCAATCACACTGTGTTCTCAAAGAACTCAAGTGCTTGAAAGAAGCACTCATGTCCATAACTGTGTACTTGTGGCATGTTTTATTTCCCGAAGATAGTTGCAACATCATTGTCCATCCAACACAGTGTTCTGATAATGTGACTTGGACATACCTCCCATTAAGAACTGGAGGCCTATTGTTCCCTTTTCTTGAAACAGGGAGGCTTGTGACTAGAGTAGAAGTAACACTGTGACTTCCAAGGCTGGATCATTAAAGATTTCCATCTCATTCTCGTTCGGACACTTACTCTTAGAACCTGCCCGCCATGCTGAAGGGAAGCCCAAGCAGCTCCATGGTGTGTCATGTGCCGGTTTCTACCTGAGGTCCTAGTATCAACCACCACACATGTGAGTGATCAAATGTTTGTATGATGCCAGCTCCCCATCATCAAGCCACCTCCAAATATCCTTGATTCTTTTAGATTGAGGCCCCAAAGCTATCCCTGAACTACCCACAGAATCTGTAATCATAGTAAAATGGTTACTTTTTTAAAATACCACTAAGTTTGGGTGATTTGTTTTTCAGGGATAATAACTGGAAGAGTATCTTCTATGTGCAGTGCTATGGGAAGTGTTGGTGCATTTTAACCATGAATAAGTTTGGTCCTAGTCTTCACATATCTTACAGTCAGGTCACTGTTCCCTCTAAGGCATTCTTACACCCACAATGCAATGAAATATTTTGTCTTTTCATAGTTACCACTATCTTAAAAGTGATAACTGTAAAATGGATGGCAACTTCGTATTCTAACAGGAAATGTAATCTTTTCTTTTGCCTGGCTTCTTTCATTTTGGTGAAATTATTAATATTCATTCATTATTTAGATATGGAACAACCTGTGAAGCCCCTTTTATACTTAGCCCTTTGCTCAATGCCTGATACATAATTGCTTGATAAATGTTGAATGAATGCCAGTCAGAATTAATCAGACATATAGATAGTGATTGACTGTTTGGAGGAGCACCTGTGAGCCACCTTTCTTATACACCACAAGAAATGAAGGAGATATTTATTAAATGTGGGGTTGAGGATAAGAAAGCTAAGGTCTAAAGCTGGGAATGGTTTTAAAAATTAAAACATCTATTTTAATCAACATTAGGCTTGATATTACTTCTGAGACCGTGGTGTTTGTCCAAAGGAGATTTTAAAAGTTTATGTTTTTAAGTAAAAGTAGATAAGCAAAGACACCACAACTAGGTAGTCTAGCACGTTCTCAAAAAGCTCGTAAAAGAAACTAAATCCTTGATGCAGCTAAGAGGAAATGTTTTTAGATTACAGGCCATTTTCTAAAAATTGGGGCAGCTAAAATGTTCCCTTAAACTCTTATATATGATTTGCAGAATTCCATTATATCCAGTTAGATGGTGGTGTTGAATTCAACTATGTTCTTATTCAAGTATTGTGACATTCTGTTGTTAAATGAATAGACGTTAAAGATTATTATTGTCTTCTTGAAGAACTGACCCTGTAACATTATGTAATACTTCTTTTTATCTCTGATAACTTTCCTTGCTCTGAAACCTGCTTCATCTGAAATTGATGTAACTACTTCTGCTATCTTTCAGTTAGTGTTCACATGGCATGTCTTTCTCCATCCCTTTACTTTTAATCTATATGCATTCTATATTTATAGTGAGTTTCTTGTAAACAAGATGTAGTTGGATTTTGTTGAAGTTTAAAGTGATTATTGCTATAATTAGATTAATATCTACCATATTTTTTACTTTCTTCTATTCATTGCCCTATTCTTTGTTCCTATTTTTGTCTTCCATTCTCTTCCTTCCTTTTGTGGTTTTAATTAAGCACTTTACTGGATTCCATTTCCTCTCATT